CACACACACACACACACACACACACACTCTCCATTTCACTAGACTGCCCCTCTCATCCAGTGGCTTGGATTGATTTTTACACACACACACACACACACACTCCATTTCACTAGACTGCCCCTCTCATACTGAGAAGTCATAAGTCTTCAACAATCACCAAAATAAGTCCTAAACACCCAAAAAGTCATATACATAGCTAAAAACCATTAAAGGAAATTTGTTATTTTTGTCTTTGGTAGTACTATGTTTAACCATGTTTCAGAGTTCATGCCCTCTACATCAGTGAAGAGGAATCCAAGCCATCTGGGAACATCCAAAAGCAGAACTATGGACTCTACATATGTAGTGTATTTGGGGGGAGAATAAGCAGGTTGCCTAGCTTACTGGCCTCCAAAGGTGGATTTTGCTCCTTAAAAAGTTTCTCAGCCAGTCCTTCCAAATAAAACACATTTGTTAAACAACAAACAAGGAATCAGTTAAACAAACTAAAGCCTTCTGCCCTGTCCCACAGGCTTTGGCTCTAGCCCCAGCACAGCAGCCTAAACCCTTCCTTGTAGGAAAACACTCTACTCACACGTGGCTTCCTCCTCCCCTTCTTACTCTTCCAGGAGCTTTTTAAAGCTCTTAGCAGGACACGGCATTGCTGCCTTTCCTATCAGAATGCCCTGCTGCTGGACTTCACAATGGCCGATTTCCCTTTTAAAGGTACGGTCCATCTAGTTACAGAAAGTTTTCAAGAAGAGGACATAGATTTGTTTTGGACATTGTAGGATGTGTCTACACATCATGCTATGGTGACATAGTGACCACTTGAGTCTACACATGACCAGCAGCTACTTTGCTGTAGCGGTGCACTCCCCCATTATAGTGTGCCATTACAGCAAAGTAGCAGCTAAAAATAACCATGCGCCATGCATATGGCACAATATGGGTGGTTACTGCACCATGCTCTAGTACTTTTATAAGGAAGTACTAAAGCACAGTGCAGTAACAATGTCACCATAGGGCAATGTGTAGATACGCCTGTAGATTTGCTTTTTTCAAAATTAGCTAAAAATACAGAGTCAAGGAAAATGATTTCCCTGTATATATAGGATACTTTAATTACAGTAGCTAACACAGTTAGCTTTCTGAGTTAGGAAGCACTTGGTGTTATAACTCCTTTGACTGGTACATCAAGAATTAGTGGGCTTGCTTTCCTCTGCCATTCTTCCATGGAACCCTAATATGTCCTAACTTCCCTCACTAGCTTAGACTCACGCAGAACAGCTAATATTGATCTCAGATGAGTTACCTCATCCCAGCTGAGCCAGTAACCTTCCCTACGCAAGTTTTACTCCAAACATGCATGTGTTTTAGCCAATAGATTATACAGTCAGTTCCTCATCCTCTCCTGTTGGAGCTGTTCCTTTGTTTAAGAGATTTGCTGGGTTATAAAGAAAAAAGGTAACTTGATAGCTTCTGGTTTGGTTCAGCCAGAAGCTTAGTGTTATTGGTATTGTAGGTAGGGAGTGTCTACTGCCTTCAAGTGGCATGCTTTATTAGTAGCAAAAAGTGAAGCTGAAGTACACAAAATGCAAGATAAGTGTATAATGTGATCAGAACTACCCAGAAATATTTTCAAAGATGAAGCAGGGCAGCCATGAAGCCTTGATGATCAAGACAGCACCAGTTTCACAGTGCCAATGGTGGTGGCTATTTTTGTGCACCCTGTACCCATGCAGCATCCTGGGCTGCTGTCCGAGTTACCCCCTTCAGTTACATTACTGAATATTTTACCACAAGTAACTTTAGCCCTTCCATAACTCTTAGGAGTTATTAAACATTCATTTGTGCATTTGTCTTTACTAATTCAGATATAGTCTTTATTTTTAACAAGGTATTACAGTTCTTTTGGTTGTTGCAAGTTCTTCAATAAGCTAATCACAAGATATTCTGTAAGCAGAGGAATACAGCTAGATTCTGCCATATCCTGCCACTTTGCTCAGGTTTAGTAGTACCTCACAGCAAACAAACATAACAAAGTGCTTTATATCTTCTCAAAAGCTTTTTGTAAAACAAAATTTTGCAAACATGTATATTTCCCTGTAGATTTCAAAATGCATATCTTCATAAGACAAATCAAACTCTGACAGAAAAGTTGCATATGCAGGAACATCAACTGAGGAAGATTAATAACATAAAATATAAAATAAATTACTTCTAAGTACTACTAAAATATCTAAGAAAGACATAGACTTAATAAGGTGAGGGAAAAGGGCTGGAAACTGGCTACTGAGTTCAGCTGGCTTCGCAGTTCACTTGAAAACATACAGATATCCAAACTAAGAAGCAGAATTGTCTGTATCAGTAGTTCTGGTTTCGGATGCTCCTATTTTGTTCTTTCTCCAACTTCTACTTTTAATTTTTTTCCATATATTTACATCATACACTTGTACCATAAATGTCACAAAGATAATGCCTCCTATTAATATAGCTGTTAGTGAGATAGTAAGATACTGTCCTGGGAAGGCCAATGGAGCATCATCAACATAAATCTGCAAAAGAAAGTATTTAACAAATCCTTTTATTGTTTACCTCCAATAATTACTAAAAATCTATAGCAAATTTTTCATATTTCCAACAACTTATCTGCTAATATAATTAGTATTCTCAACAGATGGAAAGAAATTAAAGGTCCTTTCCCCCAGAAGCTGACAATCAAAGGCTCAATGTTACTTCAGCTGAAATCGATTGCAGGTTTTCAGTTGCTTCAATTGGAATATTCCAACACAAATGGCTAAGTTTAAATTTGAGGGCCAGACTGTCAGAATGGCAAAATCATTTCAGTGGTGGAATGCAAGTAAGAAAGTTTTGTTTACTGGGTATCAGCTAGTGTTGTGGGGGGCGTGGAGAAAATATTTTTGAAAAAAAAGGTGTAAAAAGCAATTTCTAGGTATTTCCCTGTTCTCACTTTTATCATTTTTGTTTCATAACTACAGGCACTTTGGACAGGGGCAGTATCTACTTCTTTGATCGTATGTAACAGTAATGGGCCTCCCCATCTCACTTTACAACTCTATTTGTGCTAATCTTTCCTCCATCTGAAAATGGAGGGCATGATACTGTTTGAGATATGTGGATGGAAAGTGCTACACAGAACTGCTAGGTATTAATAGTGTTGTGAACAACACAAGGTAACCAATGAAATGATGTGCACATGAAGTCCTGCTGATCTTCCTCTCCACATACAAAGAGGGCCAGCACTCAGCAGCTGTGCTCCATCCGGAAACCTCTCTGGAGGTATGGGCATGTGCGAGGAGAGTGAGGACTGCAGATTAAGTGAAAATTAATACACATTTTCTTGGGTGAATAATTCTCCTTGAAGGGAGCATGCTGGAAGTAGATGGGCATGGACCATAGTGGACAGAGCCACAGAGGGTGCAGCACTGCTACACATGTGCAGTGGCTTTATCTGGATGAAGTTTGAGTTTGTGCTACCTGCTTTCTTCCTCAAGGTAAGGACCCCCAAATGGGAACCAGTTACTGATATCTGGAAAGTTTCAAGTCAGCTTTGTTTGCCAGCACTCACTGTCTGTTGATTTGCTTAGTCACTGGAAATTTGGCCATTCTTGGCTGCCAAGATCAGCCCTACAAACACTGTTGTAGTACCTATGATGCCTCCTTTGGCATGCTGCTTTGCCCTTTCCAGAAATGCTGTGGGAGCCATGCTAGTGAATCTGGGAAACATCTGAGGAAAAATGACTGCACAAATGACTAAATGTGGGATTAGTGCCCCATTCTACAGTGTGTAAATCTAAATTTAGTAAGTACAGCTTCTGTTATAGCTCATTTTTCTTTCATTTGAAATGCTGTGATCATTTATTTTTAAATGCCGCTTGGTTGATTTATGGCTATTTATGGTACCTGAAATTCATCAAACAGGTTACAGAAGGAAACTCCAGGAATAACTGATACCCTGAAATGGAAAAGCTCAGATCCCTGTTAAAAGAAAACAACAGCACCATTGATTATTTTCTTGATCTAAGGACAAAACGTCTTTAAATTAAAGAGAGAGAGAGAGAGAGAGAGAGAGAGAGTGTGTGTGTGTGCACGCGCGCGCACATGCAAGCACATTTCACACTGCAGTTTTCAACCCCTTCCTTGAAGATTTTCTGCTGCTTTGAGTATAAAGCCAGCAAGTCAGAGGAGCAAGACAGTGACAAATCTATAGACTATCTTGCTCTTAGAAGCAATAGCATTTAAACAGGAACCAGCAATTTTCCTTTGGTAATGTATGATTTCTGCATTCTTGTTTACTGTTATCTTAGGGAAACTGACAACAACAGTTAGTAATCCGACGTTTCCTCTGACCATGGCCAACTACATGTTTTCTAGGTTATGTCCTCCTGAAAACTAATGGATTATTTTCATTTCCTCCTTACCAAATGAGACCCAGAAGCGAGACCACACAAATGGAGGCAAAGGGTTCAAATGTTACTTCCTTGTCAGAGCATCTGCTCACATGACTGAGGATTTCCCCATCCTATTATGCGCTCTGAGACAAATTCCAGATTCTTTTTCATTTTAAAGAGGCAGGAAACACACATTGTGCTCCTTCAAAACATGCATCTCAGTCAGATTGCTCCCAGAACCTGGCATCTCTAAGTGACTTCACTGGGAAACAGGGGCAAAACAAACACCTAAAAACGTCAGACAAGACAGTCAGCCAACTGGCTGGCATCCTAGTAAGAGACTCAAATGCTAGTTTCTGCTGCCTTGAGCAATTTACTGTTGCTAAGGCAATCTAATTTCTGAAAGAAGGTAAAATTAAAACCAAAATGATAAATTCAGCCATGGTATAAATAGGCACAAGCTCTTGAATGTTAAACCTGACTAATTTTGGCACACTAGGTTTTGTACACAAGAAAATAATGTGTAAAGCTTCCTCCAAACACAGAACAATCTTTCTAAAAATGTACCTGTAAGTTAAACATTATTTTAATGTATTTTAAAATGTTATTTTTCAAAAGTTCAATTCATTTAATTTTATTAAAATTATTACTTTTAACGAAAACTAGAAAATCCTAAAAGTACAAACAATATATAATTTTTATAAATAAAAGTGGTGCTTATTGCACAGATACAGTTAAACACAATTGGTTTAGAAAGACGTTTAAAGAAACGTCCGACCCTTAATCTATGAATCTATGAATCTATGAAAAGGGTAGCTTAAGTTGTATGCATTATTACTGGTCAGAAATTTTTTGTCAGAAAAAATAGCTCCCATGGAAAATGCTGTTTCCACAGCTTAGAATGTTTTTTTAAACCTTTTGATTTTCCATCAGAAAAATGGAAACAAAATATTTCTCTTAAGGTTGATAAATGGGAATATTTTATTTGATTAAATTGTAACCCAGGCGGTACTCCACGAGGTACCCCCTCTCCAATTGAAGGGATCAAAGCAGGTGCACTAGCGCTGTGGGAGGTGTAGGGACTCTCCTCCCCCTATAGAGCAGAGCCAGATCACCAATGGGGACTTAACCATATACCTTTTAATGAGGGAACAATTCTGGGAACAAAACAGGCATAAATCAGAGGATATCGTGGACACTACAATGCTCCAAGAGGGCAAAGACAGGGTTAACAAAATATAAAATACAAGCAGCAGAGCAAACAATACTGGTTGGTGAAATATAAAAAGGCACAAAATACAAAATGTCAAATGACAAGGAAATATAGGGCCTAGGTACCTGGAGAGAGAGAAAGGGGGGAAACACAGTGACCCCTTTCCACTGCAAGGAGATTTGCTTCTTGTTAGCTCACTCACCCCAGATGGGACTCTGAACTCAGATCTCCCACATGGTAGGCAGAAACACTGCCACACAGCCACCACTGGTGGCACTACTCCAAGCTGCTAGGGGTCTTGACTTTCCCAGAGCCCCAACCTCACTTCAAGCTGCCTGGCCTCTGACTGGAGGAGCTGGAAGCAGAGCTGGGAACCTCTCAGGTCGCTGCTCAGATCCTTGCTGGAGCTGGGGAGCCTGTCCTGCTGGCTGCAGCCTCTCCCAGGGGATCCTGGAGCCCAGCAGGGAGCCTCTCCTGCAGGCTGCATGCTGTGCTGCTGAGGGTCCAACTGCTGCCTGCAGATCCCACTCTTTCAGGCTCTTCTGGGGCAACTGCTTCTGCCCCAGTGGCTCAGCTCTTTGAAGCTCTTTCCTTGTGGTCCCTCACTGGTCTCCCCTGAGTCAGCCATGCTGCCCCTTTTATCCCCCTCCAGGTGACCCAAGGGGCCAATCAGGGGACCTGGAGGGTGAGTCTCTGGGGCCTGATTGGTGAGGAAAGGGAATCCCAAGTCCTCCAAACATCTTTTACCCCTTCAAAATCCGTGGGCTAGGTCACTGCCATCTAGCCCGTCACAAAATGATTTGTTTTGAATGAGTTAAAATATTATTAAACTTCATTTCCTTGTACATTGCCTTATGGGAATTATAGTTCGGACCTTGGTTGTCTCCCATGGGTCAGGCTACTTGGAGGACTACATTATCCACAACACAATGTAGACCAACTGACCAAGTTAAAAAAATGCTGTTTAATGTTGATATCTCTGGAAAAAAAAAAAAAGGAGCCTTACAGGTCAAATCAACAACATTAAACAAATTTAGATACTGGTAATGTTAATTATGTCAAATACAGCCACATTTGCTAACAAGCATATTTCTGAGGGAAAACATCTGGGTTACTAAATGCAAAGTAGGTTGATGAGTAAAAATTGGCAAAGTTTTTAACAAGATTTGTAATATAATTTATTTGAAAGGTTAGTATAAGAAGGCATTGTCAAAATTTCCTTTATATCTCAAGGATTAGTGGTTTCAGAACTGACTGTGGCATATTTATAAGACATAAAAAACAGTTTTGATAATCAAAGTAGAGCTGGAACTGAACTACAAAAGAGTAAACTGATCTTGGTTTTACAAAGAAAAATTTAGATTCATACTGGAACTGGTAGGCAATGTCAATCCTCTGGATCATGGTGTACATGCAAGAGGTCTAGTCAGACACCTAATGAATCCTTTTGTGGCTGATGAGCCCAATTTGAGAACGATGTGGCTTGTTACAAGTTTTGCAGACCCATATATTGTCTGAGTTGGAGTCCATGTTTACAGCGTGCTGCTTTCTTCTTTCTAGCTTTGTTTCTAATCTCTGGATCAAAGCCACTTCATGTTGAGTTGCACCCAGTGCCAGATGTTCCCTTCAGATTGGACAAGACTCTGCATGCTCCTCCAAGCTTTCTACGTTGATGTTGAACAACTTCATATAATGTTTGCATGCGTTGTGGTACTGCCATAGAGGGTGGCCCTAATTTCTAGAGCTCTCTCAAATCTCACTATACAAAATATTCTTGAAGATACAGTCTTCTCTTTTTCTCCTGACGTGGACAATCAATTGCAACCTTTGTTTCTTGATAATGGTTTTTAAGTGTCAGTCCTGCACACTCCAGTACCAATCTGTTTGGTATTCTGTCTTCCCACTTTATTTAAAGGATCTTGCACAGATCAGTCTCTTGATATGCCTAGCATATATAGTCCACATTTCTGAACCATAAAGCAGGGATGACAGCATGCAAGTCTTGTAGATTCATATATTCACCTTAGCTGATAGTTTGCTGTTATTCCATGCATTTTTCTGTAGTAGCCGTGACTTCATAGCTGCTTCTCCAATTCTGTTAGTCAGCTCAATCTGTAGGTCAAGATTTCTGCTGATTGTAGAACTCAAGTAGAAAAAACTGTCAATGACACCAAGAGATTTATCCTCCAGAGTGATGTCTGCTATTGGTTTTTTCACCTCTTGGTGCACGATCACAATCTTATTGAGACTAATTGCCATTCCAAAGCTGTTGCATGATTCAGAAAATCTGCCTAAGAGATTTTTCAGGGAAGATTCACTGTGTGCAACTAAGACCACATCATCCACAGACAGGAAGTCTTTCAGGACCAGTTTTTTAACTTTGGTTTTCACTCTAAATTGGGGGTGGGCAAAATTTGGCCCACAGGCTGGATCCAGCCCACCAAGAGATTCTATCTGGTCCACAGCAGGTCCTTTGGCCCTGCCTAGTCCAGGCGTAGAGGGCAGCCTAGTCTGCACACATACTGCCACAGTCCTACTGCCTCCAGGCATGTGGTGGGGTTAAGGTGACATGGCAGGAAGCTTCCTGGCAGCCCCAGTGGCAGCACCTCACTCTGCCTTACTGCTGCCACCAGTGTCTCTGCCACCATGGGACCTAACTCTTCTGCCTGGGCACCCAGGCCCATTTGATCTTCATCCACTGCCAGAAGCAAACAGAGCAGGCAGGTGGAATCCCATGGGCAGGACATGTTCAGACAGGCAGATGGGATGGGATGGGGCTGTGGGCATAGGTGGAGAGAGAAGATATTATTTGGGGGCTGAGTGTACACCCCCCCC